GCAATTTTGTGTTAAAACTGGGGATTCGCCAATTGTGAAAAAAGAGTTTAATTATAGACTGACAATGGGGTTTTGATTAGATTACGTTGTGCGTTGCCATAGCAAATGATTGACCAAACCATATAAGAGTGATTTGAAGAGAGTATCGATCTTCAGATATCATCACGATGTTGAGTGCAAACACAAACAACCAGCAAGAGTTGATATTCGAGCAAGATGCGACGAGAAAGCAGTTGGCGGAACGACCGCCATGCACCGATGAACAAGACGACGAACGTGAGTCGTCGGCAATTGACACTATTCGCAACACTGATATGACGAACAGCAGTAAAGTACTCACCGAATGTGATATAAACAACTATCAACATTCCACCAATAAAAAATTATCCTTCATCAAATCGTCCTCTCTAGTTCACTTCAAACAACTTCATTCTACCGATAGCGCCGACTGTTCCACCACATCCAAATCGCGTATTAATAATATGCTGAAACGCTCAAATAACAAATCCAAAGGTTCATTTCAGTTTTTCAAAATGGTTATTTACCAACAAACACTTTGTCATTTTTATTACTGATGATCCGTATTGAGTGTTTTAACAACCAGCAGATTTTATTGTATACCAATCTTTACTGTCGTATGATGAGAACGCTTTAAATGAGGCCGAAATGCAGCAGTTGTTGCATGATTCATGTTTTATGCCTTTAGTAATAGTGATTTCCGGTGCATCATCGTTTACGTATCTGAGCATATGTAGAATAGGACTATGACTGTGAATGATTCGTTGAAAATTATTTCGGTTTTTGATGTGATTGCATCAGTTGTGTGCTGGTTATGGTTGTGTACTGGTGTAGCAATGACGATTCAGTGTTTTAAGATTGCCCTTTGTATATAGATAGATTAACTGTTTTTATTGATCGATAGATAGAGCAATGAGATGGAATTAGGCGATGTTTGATGGTGATGTTGCGCGAATTCAGGGTCGATAATGAACACCGGTAATAACAACAACCACTCGTCAACATCATCGTCGTGCAACGATCCATTCCGATTTCAAGGTGAAGGAGTTTCATTCAAAGGGAAACTGATCGGGGTTCGTGATGTGGACAGTGCACGCGGTGATGTGATGTGTTCTGAGGCAATGCGTCTCGCCAAAGCATCCATCAAAGCCAGTGGCCAGCACAAACAACGAATCGTACTCAACATCTCTATCGAAGGACTCAAAATCAAAGACGAAAAAACATTGGTGTGTGTGTGTTTGTGCCTTCGTTTATCATTCGTTCCTTTCTGTTGCACCTTTTCGCTTTACGCCTCACTCCCTTCGTTTAAGTCGGAATTTTAATCGTATGGTTAGCAAAAGAAAATAATTAATGCAGATGTACTATTGGTCATGAATGCATTATTTGTGATTGCAATACATTATTCGTCAGCACGTTATTTGTGAAGAAATGTCGTAGAATGGACTAATAATAGTATCATTTGAAGCTCATTAAATGCAGTGATCACCAGTATTCGATGTTTTTTTTAAGGGAGAGGAACAAAATGGTCCGGTTCCTTGGGGTGGATTTTTTCACTGCGTTTATTTTTTTTCTTTCATCTCCCTCTCTTCCATGCTAGTACCATTTCCTTTTCCCTTCCCCTCTTTTATCTTTTTTCTTTCCCTCTTCCTTTCTCCTTTTTTTCCGACCTCAAGGTAAGATGGAAGTGCCTCTAGCACCCTCTGAGTACATTAATGATTATCACCATCAAACAATCTCAGCACTGCGCACTTCAACTAGCACAACATTTAATTACCACTCTCAGAACATCATTTCAGACCACTTTACACAACTTCCCGGTGTCTAGAATTTCGTTTATCGCCCGTGATACAACTGATGCGCGTGCTTTTGGCTTCGTCTATGGAAGTTCTGATAACACGTACAAATTTTATGGTACATTTGTTGATTATTCCGTTCTGTCTTTACGTCTCAATGCAATTTTGGATCGGTGCAATGTGTAGGTGTTGACTGTCATATCCAGTATAAGCAAGCTATTGAATGTCATGTAGAGTATAAGTGAATCGATGGAAAAATATTGAATTGACAAAGTGAAAATTAAGGGATAAA